CATTCTTACTTTACAGCATTTTTTCACACCTGCCTAAAACATTTGCATAGTACTGTATATCCCAGAAAAAAGAAATACTTTGGAAGTTATACTATTAACTCACAGACTGTGCCATTAGAATCCAGCCTACCCTACAGAATGTTACTTAGAAGAACACTCTAACTTACTTAGTTGGACTTATTTCCAAATAAATATGAATGGAATCAGTTTTACAGATGTAAGAAGCACAGCAAGCAGACCTCTGCGGGGCTTCAGACTTGATTTGTTGTTTTGGAAATGCAGGAGCATCATTGTGGCACCTCTCTGCAACTCTTTAAAGCAGCTGTGTTTTTGCTATATGATTCCAGGAAAAGGTGCAGCTGATTTAAAGAGTTACAACCAGATGCTACACTGGTGTTCTGCATGCTCCAGAGCATCTTTTTGGAATAGATCCAGATCCATTTGATCAAGTAAGAGAATATGAACATTTCAGTTTATTTCCAATCCTACACCCTTTAAACAGATAGGCTAACTATAAGGTATTTAAACCGTAAAATATTAATTCAGTTTTTAAAATAAACTGTATTACATGGCAGATTTTAAATTTGCAAACATACCTCCCCATGGTTGAAAAAGTAGCATGCCACTGTAAGTAACCCTCCAAATCTGTTCCCACTGTGAGGGGAGAGAAAGGGGAGAAGAAAGAAATGTAATAAATTTTCTTTTTCACACAAGCTTCAGTGACAAAATAAAAATACTTTTAATTTTATGAATGATAATCTGCTCTAAAATGCCAGATAAATAAAAAATATTAGGAATATGCATTTATTCAGATTATGAAGTAGAAAAGATGTTTCAGGAGTGGCAGCTGGGGTTTCAGCACCTGCTGGTACCTTCTTAAAGAAGATGCACTTTTTCCTAGATTCAAAAGTAGTCTTGTGGTCCCAGTGGGTATGATATACCCTGTTACTGTCCCCTAATTCAAACATGTATTTTCCTGGCTACCATATGACCCCATGAAAAGGTGCAGCTTATTTAAGGAGACACCAACAGGTGCAGCAAGCACCTTTTCCACTTCAGATCCAAACAGCTACTCATCCCTAGAAGTATAATGCTTCCCAACTCATCCATTATTAGGTTTCCTGGGGTTGAGATCAGTCTCCAAACATCAGTTCTCCCTGTACACGCTTACCTGAACAGATCAGAGTGGCACTGAACTTTATACACTTCTTCTTTTATGGTTAGACTTAAAAAGGAAATCTCAGTTTTTTGTATAC